AAGCCAAGAAGACCTGCATATAGCAGAAATGACTGTGAGGGAAACACTTGACTTTTCAGCCCAATGTCAGGGTATTGGAAGCCGGGCAGGTAGGTTTTCTTGAGTTTAATCCAATGAATTCTTAGTTGTAGCTACCTTATCAATTCTCACAAGTAATTGATAGTTACAGAAATATGTTTTTCGCCTGTGTAGATATCATGATGGAAGTAAGTAAAAGAGAGAAAGAGGCAGGAATTGTACCAGATCCGGACATAGATACTTACATGAAGGTACCGTTAGCATTCTTGTCTAGTTTCATTCTATTTTATTAAAAAAACTGATATAACAACATTTTTGACTGGTTTGATTCAACAGGCGATATCTGTCCAAGGAGTAGACAGAACCCTTCAAACTGATTATGTTTTAAAGGTAATTCTCTTTAATTTAGTTGCTTGTAACCGTACTTCTCAAGTTGATTTTTTAATTTTTTTTCTGTGGCTTGAAAGATCCTTGGACTTGATGTCTGTGCTGACATGATGGTGGGAGATGTCATGAGAAGAGGTATATCTGGTGGTCAAAAGAAGAGACTGACTACAGGTAATTTTGGCATAAAGGTTTAAAAGTTCATCAGGTAACTTCAAAAGATTAGATGTATACCATAATGTACATTGAAGGATCAAATTTTCATTAACTTACGCAGCGGAGATGATTGTTGGTCCTACAAAAGTTCTAATGATGGATGAAATATCAAACGGTTTAGACAGTTCCACTGCATATCAGATTGTTGCCTGTTTTCAGCAGATGGTGCATATCATAGATGCTACTGCATTGATTTCACTTCTTCAGCCTGCACCTGAAACCTTTGAACTCTTTGATGACATCATTTTGATGGCAGAAGGAAAGATTGTGTATCAAGGACCACTTGATCAAATTGTATAGTTTTTTGAGGACTGTGGATTCAGGTGTCCTGAAAGAAAAGGTGTAGCTGACTTTCTTCAGGAGGTAAGCGCATTACAGGAGCTTATAATCATTTCTTTTCCATGCTCAATTATTAGTTCTTCATCATTTTACCTTCGTTTTTCGTTTGGTAGGTGATATCAAGGAAGGATCAAGAGCAATACTGGTACCGCACCGAAGATCACTACAATTATGTTTCAGTTGATATATTATGCAGGAAATTCGAGGAATCTTCTCTCGGTAAGAAGCTTCAAGAGGATCTCTCAATGGCATTCGATAAGTCAAAAAGCCACAAGGATGCTCTTTCCTTCGACGTGTATTCTATTTCCAAATGGCAACTGTTTAAAGCTTGCATGTCAAGGGAATTTCTTCTTATGAAGAGAAATTCTTTTATCTATGTATTCAAAATTGTCCAGGTTATGATTTATCCTTCATAGCCTTTCATCATTTATCCTTTTGTGCATTGGTTGGAAAATTTTGAAATATGTAAGGACTTTCTTGTTACAGATTCTCATCATTGCAACTATCACGATGACTGTCTTTATAAGGACTCAGATGGACATTGATGTTTTTTATGCCAGTTACTACATGGGAACCCTGTTTTTTGGACTGCTAATATTTCTTGTTAATGGCTTTCCGGAATTGACTCTGATTATTGCAAGACTTCCGGTTTTCTTTAAACAAAAAGAACTAGGCTTCTACCCCACTTGGGCATATGCAATTCCAACTGCTATTCTGAAAATCCCTATTTCAGTAATCGAATCTTTGGTATGGACATGTCTTACCTACTATGTCATTGGATACACCCCTGAAGTCTCGAGGTAAGTTTCACTTGACAACGCTATGTTTATTAGTGCATTGAATCCTCTAATTATGTTTCATGTTTACGTATTTAATTCTGTGTATAAATTGAATGCGTTGATTTCAGGTTCTTCCGCCACCTTATTGTACTTTTTGCTGTGCACTTGGCATCAATATCCTTGTTCCGATGTTTGGCATCAGTCTGCCAGACTCTGTCTGCTGCTATGACAGCCGGTGGTTTTGCAATGTTATTTATCTTGATATTTGGTGGCTACATTATCAAACATCGTAAGGATTTTGAGACGTTCTCACCTTTGATTGCAGAATTTTCACCTGAAAGGATTAACTTATGCTATGTTTTTTGTTGCAGCCTCTATGCCAGGGTGGTTGAAGTGGGGTTTTTGGGTTTCCCCTCTTACATATGGAGAAATAGGCCTTTCTGGAAATGAATTTCTTGCTCCTCGATGGCAAAAGGTGAGTTTCTCATAGCTGAAGTTACTTGTTATTAGCATAAACTGAACCCACCAATCAAAATCTGGAGAAAGAAACTCACTGCGTTGTGCTTCTTGATTTTTTTTTTTTTTTTTTTTTTTTTTTTTTATAGATGCTGCCTACAAATACTACAATGAGGAATGAAATACTTGACAGCCGTGTTAGAGTCATGAAAGTGACTCTATTTTGGTGATAAAAATACCCCATTTGTGATTAAATTGAAGTATATTGAGACAATTAAAGAATTTATGAATTTATTCACGAAAATCGCTTCCTAATATTTTTCTTATGAATTTAACGTGTTTGGAATGATTTTGGAAAGTATATGAGTTGATATTGGGTTGTGGTTTATGGATTGAGGGTGATTTTGTCTCATTTATGCTGTTTAGGGGGTAAAATGTCATGTTTTAAGGGGCTGATTCTGTCATGTTTCAATCATGCAGGGACCAAATGAAAATTTACCAAATTTTGTATAAAACTCCAGTTCAAGTTCGCAGAAACGGGGCTGCCGCCCACCAAAACTCTTCACCTTCTCCGATCAAGCTCCGGCGACCCTCCATCTTCATTTCCGGTGACGTTTCGTCTTCCTTTTGCTCCGATCACCATCATCCCGCAAGCCGCCACCGTGAACGCCACACAACACCGCGACGCTTCGCCTCCCACCGCGTCGTTTCATCTTCCCGGCCAGTTTTGGCCGTTTTCTGGCGACGATTCGACTCCCCAAGGGTTGATCTCCCTTCCCCACACCCGGATCTACACTTCCTTTGCTTCAGTTGCCACGAAAACCGTCGGAATCAGCGGTTTAGCCGCCGCGACTCTTCATCTTCCAGGCCAGATCCTGCTCATTTCCGGCGACTTCTCGCCTCCCCAAGACCTGATCTGAACTCTCCATCACCAGAGCTTTCCATCGGTACCTTCGGATCCCATTTCCGCCACCGTTTTCAGGAGACCCGCCGGAAAATTAACGTTTTCTGGCGAACCGCGGCTGTTCATATTCCAGGCTGTCCGTTGGTCATTTTCGGCCCTTCTTCGCATCATATCGCTGTCGGTTACCTCCTCTTCGCCATGATCAACTCCGTTTCCACTGTTTCAGCCTCCGTCATCACCACCATAAGCGGCTGAGTTCCCGGTTGTCCGTTACGGTGTAGGCGAGATCGAGATTGACTGCACTGATCTCCTCATCAGCTCTCGACTAGTTGGATGAGCCCGAATGTTGGATATTTGGTTAAGTTTCTTGTATTCAGATTATATTTGTTTTCGTTTCAATTTGTTTGCGATACTTTAATNTCAAAATCAAAACCCTTTTGTTTTCTTAAACAGCAGCCAATCTTTCTCTTTGAAACCCCACTTCAGCTTCACCTTTACTCACCGTTCTGTCTCTCCATCACGGACGTTCTTCAGCCCCTTCACGTGTCTTGCCAAGAATTCAGAGCCGTCCGTTGCCGTTGTTACACCCAGCAAACGTGGTAATCCACTGGAACCTTAAGACTTCTGTGGGTATTGATTTTCTATTTATTATAATTGAGTGATCAATTGGGGCTCAAACTGTTCTTGAGCCCTGATGCATCATTAAGGCTGTTTCAGGCGATTTAACCCCGATGGACCAAAGGACCAGGAATCATGTCTTGGAAATGAGATAATTTTGGTGTGGTGATGATGAAACATACGGTTGAGTGTTTTTGAATGAATTTTACTTTCATTAATTTTTTATTCATTTGTTCTTATGTTTTGACTTTTGATGGCCGTGACCATGAATGTTGATGGCTGTGATGATGAAGTGATGGAGGGTCGGGATGATTTTGATTTTAATCTTGTTTGGATGCATCTTTAAGTAGATAGAGATTAATTCTATTTTCTTTTTCCAGGTTTTGATAAATCTGATATTAATTCTTAATTAGTTGAAAATTTATTTGTAATTATGTTTACTTTGATACTAAAATTTTTAATAGATTTTTTATTTATATGGTTTTTTTTAATAATATGATTTTTTTTTAATTAGTGCAGATTTATAATTAATTTGTGTTTAGTGACTATAGAAGATTATTTTTAAAAATTATTATTTTGATAATTATTACTAGGGGCAAAAGTGGCATTTTAGTGCCAACAAACAATTGTGATGAAAAAAAAAAAGAAGCATTTTGATGTTGTAATTGGTCCGGTAACATTATTAAGCCAGTATTTTAACACTACCTTTTAGCAATAAGAAGAGTTAATTTGTAGACTTATATTAGTTTTTTACCAGTTTGAAATTATTGGGAAGAAGTTCGTTTGAATTTTGTGGTCAAAACTTTGATACTCCTGCTGTTAGGATTGTTGGATTCGCGGGTCCCAAATGGGTCACGTGATATGATTGATGAATATATGTTTGTTTTGGAGGTTGAAGCATGGAAGATTATAAGCAATGCAGTGAGTATAGCAGTGCTATAAACCAACAGAAATTGTGTTTGTTCACGACCTGTTTTGTGTAATTTCATCGATGAACAGAAATCAGATAAAAGATAGAATAATATGTTCAAATGGATGATGTTGTTATTTGTTAATTTATAGATGGAGTAATTCTTTAAATTTTTTCGAATGGTGCAGAGGAGAGGGTGGTTGTGTTGGTTATTGGTGGAGGGGGGAGAGAACATGCCCTTTGTTCTGCTTTGAAGCGATCTAGCTCATGTGACTCTGTATTTTGTGCACCTGGAAATGTGGGAATATCTAGCTCAGGGGATGCAACTTGTATTCCTGATCTTGATGTTTTTGACAGTGAATCCGTAATTTCATTCTGCCGGAAATGGGGTGTGGGACTAGTTGTTGTGGGAGCGGAGGCTCCTCTTGTTGCTGGTCTTTCCAATGAACTTGTAAAAGCTGGAATTCCTACTTTCGGCCCTTCATCAGAAGCTGCTGCTTTGGAAGGTTCTAAGAACTTCATGAAGAATTTGTGTGACAAATACAGGATTCCTACCGCTAAGGTTTGTGTTTTTCTTTGGTCTCAATTAAAAAGTTAGTTGTGATCAGACCTAGAAAGTGATTGTGACTAGTAATGAATGTACTATCCTCTTCCTGCTTGCCCCCCTTTTTTCGGCAAACAAAAATCTTCAACTTCATGGTGTCTTTCCTCTGTCCTTCCTTCACCCGGGAAATTCTCTACTGATACTTTGATTTGGTGCTGCAGTATAAAACATTTACAGACCCATCTGCTGCAAAGAAGTATATTCAAGAGCAAGGGGCACCCATTGTCGTTAAAGCAGATGGATTAGCTGCTGGAAAAGGAGTCATTGTTGCTATGACACTGGAGGAGGCATATGAAGCTGTTGATTCAATGCTCATTGAAAATGTTTTTGGCACTGCTGGGTGTCGAATTGTTGTCGAAGAGTTTCTTGAAGGGGAAGAAGCATCCTTTTTTGCCCTTGTGGATGGAGAGAATGCCATACCTCTAGAATCTGCTCAGGACCATAAAAGAGTTGGTGATGGTGATACGGGGCCAAACACTGGTGGAATGGGGGCATACTCTCCAGCACCGATCTTGACGAAAGAACTTCAGTCTGTGGTCATGGAATCTATAATTCTCCCTACAGTGAAAGGAATGTCAGCAGAGGGATGTAAGTTTGTCGGTGTCTTATATGCTGGGCTTATGATTGAGAAGAAGTCTGGCTTACCTAAGCTAATTGAGTACAATGTGCGATTCGGAGATCCAGAGTGTCAGGTTAGTTAAAAAGTCTCTTAGCATATATCTCTTAATATGATCCCACTCATAATTTAGATAATGATTCAAATAAAAGTTTATTTCTTGCGGAGTTGTTCATATCATCACTTGATGTATATAGGTTGGTAGTGAGATTTCTATGTAGGTGGTTTGGAACAATGGAACAAGGTAGTGAGAGGAGAGTTCTAACGACCTATGAGATGGGATGATGTTGTTTCTCGTACCATAAGTTTTCTATGTTCTATTTTAATGATTGGCAAGTGGTTGGATTCTAATAATATCTAGTTTGCGTACTTTATGGGGTCTCATGCTATAAGGGGGCAACTGACAATCTTTCGGGTGCATTTGCATGTTATAGCCAAGAAAGTTCAGTTTATGTTATGGATTGCATAAATGATGATATAATTTGATGTGGATTTCTTTCAACCATGTCTTATACCTCCATTAATGGTTGCACAGGTATTGATGGTCCGCTTGGAGTCCGATCTGGCACAAGTTCTGCTTGCAGCATGTAGAGGAGAGCTAACTGGTGTGACGCTAAACTGGTCTCCAGGCTCTGCCATGGTGGTCGTAATGGCAAGCAAGGGTTACCCAGGATCCTACGAGAAAGGCACCGTGATACGAAATCTTGAAGAAGCAGAACAAGTTGCTCCATCTGTCAAGATATTCCATGCTGGAACTGCACTTGATTCTGATGGCAACTTCATTGCCACTGGAGGCCGTGTTCTTGGGGTTACTGCAAAAGGAAAAGATCTTGAAGAAGCACGAGATAGAGCTTATCAGGCTGTAGAGGAAATTAACTGGCCAGGAGGGTTCTACAGGCGAGATATCGGATGGAGAGCACTTCCCCAAAAGCAATTTGCCTCACAAGGGTAAATTTATGTCCAGAAACTAGGGGTGGCTCATTTGAGGACACAGATATCATTCAATGTCAAACAGTTTATAGAGTTACCAAAATAATGTATTAAAAAAGCTTTCCGAGTTAAGCAAAATTCTGTTAAGTTGAAATCAAAACCTCAGCAAATTTGGTCTATAGTGTTCATTTCATGCTGCTGCTCTTCATTAAAGACATTTTGTTCAACATTAGCTTCAGATTGCTTCTCTCGTCTATGTTTCTCTGTTTATCGAAAGCTAAAATAGCAAAATTGAGGCTGTATAGGTTGTATCAGCTCTGAAGAGGCCATTTATTGTTCATCAAATAAAGTAATTAGTTCATTTTCGTTGACAATCCTATTATCCTAAGCTTTATGATGCTTTGGCTGTTATATATCTGGCACATAGATCTTCTCTGATTAGATGCAGAGGAATATCATTTAGAAGTGTCATAAATTATTTGAGCATAAATAGATCATGCTGAACCATATCTTTACTTTATTATCTTTTTTTAATGTTATATAAAGAAGTCTATATCGAGCCAAAATTTTATTTGATTGTTTTCTAAATTCTGCAGAAAAAGTAGCTTGAAAATATACTATACATGATGGAGAACGTTCAAGTGGGATCTCCCCAAGTTGCCAATGGAGTTGTTCCAGTTCCGCCTCCATTACCTGGTCCAACAACCAGTTATAATCAATTGAAGGATGGATCTCCATTAAGAGGGTACAGTTGTGTCTCCACAGCAACAAAAGATTTGTGGGAGAATCTCTCTGACTCAGGCTTTATTAACACTGATTATGATGGCATCATCTATGGCCATGCTAATATTCTTGTAAGTCTTTTAATTCTACCTTTTGTTTAATGAAAGTAAAAGCTTTTCTATGAAGAACAATGAAAAAGATTTAAAGTTTAAATAACTTGTTAGTTAGTAAGGCGTACCTGTGTAAAATCTGACACCTTAAGTAATCATATTGTCCATTTTTGTGTTTTGGTAACAGGGCATTGCTTCTCCTACTATGAGAGGGATCCTGAAGCAATCAAAATGTCATGGACGTTGGCGATCTCTCTCAATTCATGGTGTTCCACCAAATGCAGTTAAAATTTTTATAAGATTCTTGTACTCTTCCTGGTAAAAGTTTTGTCCTCAATAGTGCTTAATTTGCTGCTTAGAATTCTGCAAGTAATGCCACTGCGTGCTAATTGTTATTGGTAATTAATTTGTAGTTTTGAGAAAGTAGACATGGAGGATTATGTCTTGCATCAGTTGGTTCTATCTCATGTGTTTGTGGTTCGTCGGTTAAAGCGGGAGTGTAAATGTTCACTAGAGGAAGGTTTGCACACCATGCCATACCCCAATCGGTAGCCTTAGCCTCCCGTTTATCACCACAGTAGCCAAATCGTTGCCATCTCCTCCATTGCATCCACACATGACACCACAGCGATCGCTATTGCATAAAAGTTGACCTTGATATAAGCTTTCCAACTCATCTTCAAGAATCTCAATGGACTTTTAGAACTCAAGTTATACCCAATTATTGATCAGTGCCCAAGTTTGTGACAAGATTGATCTTAACTTTCATGTAAACTTTGAATACCCAAATCTACTGGGATGAAAATGCGTAAACCAAATTTAGAAAGCTCAAGATTTCTACTTCAAATATTAAGAAGACCTCTTTCTGATTCTAGAACTCTAAGATTGTCAAAGCTCTATGAACCTTCAGATGTCGAATCAGCCAATGTTTGAAAACTGCACATTATGCTCACTTCCATTCGCATGCCTCCATTCCTTTTTTAATTCAGAAAATATACTAATCAGCTCAATTAATCACAAAATTATCGCAAGATTAATAGTAAGGAATTGAAAATATCAATTATTGAACATTTATCAAGATGATATTAAGATGGCATTTGGGGCTTACGTAGTCTTATTACCCCGGCCTGGGTTTTAAAAATTACTATATAAATGAAAATTTCAGACTGTTTTTGTATTTTACATAAGAGTTGTCGGTGGGTCACGCCATGCCACGATCCACAAAAATGTGGGTTGTGCCATGCCTGCCAGACAAAAACTCAAGGCCCATGGCCTGCCTTCGTGGGCCGGCATAGGCTATATTAATTTTTTTTAATTTGTGGGTCGTGTTGTGCCGCCCACATGCCAAACTAAGACCCACATGGCCCATGCCCCACGGGCCATGGCAATGCACAAAATTTTCATTTCGTGCTATGGTGGGTTGTGCCAAAAAAATTGTGAGTCGGTGCCGGTTTGCAAATTGTATATCTAGCTTGCTGCTTGTCTCTAGATTTCATTTCATTTTCATTTTTAGTTTATTTGATTTTTGAGTGACCAAATATGTACTTTTACCTTAAAGAGAATCAATAACCTAACAGATTTTGTTAGTAAACAGTACAGAGGGGAGGTGTAGGACACTTTTTGCAATTTGAGGAGAGGTTAGAGATGCTATTTTAAACATGTTGGTGTCCCGGAAAATGTAAACCTTAAAGGAATGAGGGATATCAAAAGTTTAAACCATCTATATATATATATATATCATCTAATTATTTTTGAGTTGGATCCGTTATATAAAATATTCAAATATATTTTTTTAATCAATTTAAATCTTACCTAAATCCCTTTTAAAATTATGTGAGGGATCTTTAGATATTAATATTGTGTCTCTCAAGTTTAAATGAGTACATATAATTTAAAAGCAATTTAGATAAAATTGATTAAAATAATATATTTGAATATTATATATACGGATCCAACTCAAAAATAATAGATATGAATATGTGATTATTTTAGTGGTGTAATTGCAAGAAACTAAACTAAGAAGGATTGAAAGAATGACAAAATAAAGGGGGCTGAAATAAGAAGCTTTTATTAACTCTTTTATGTCATTGTTTTGTGTACATAGAATGAAAATGGGCTGAATTATAGGTATTATCACTCTCCTCAAACCCAATAGGGGCATGCCAAAGACCTTTCTTGATTACATGTGGAATGTGGTAGCTAAGCCACCATTTATAGCACTCCCTTTTGGATTTCCATCACTTTTTCTACATAGATAATGACCTGTTCGATTGTTCCTGATGAAGTCGTTTCTCCTGTCACAGAGTCCATTGCTTTAATCTTAATTAATTGGGTAATACTGTATGGGGGGATAGATCCGGAAATAGAATGAAAAATTACAAACACCTGGGAAGCTCCCCTAAGACCAAGAGACAACTTGTACATGCCCAAAATTCACCTCAACAAGGCCAAGAGCATTGTAGGCCTAACCAAGCCCCATAACAAAAAGCTCAAAAACTATGCAAAATAACAAACTCCACTCATTTGGGCCAACCCATTAATCTGCTATCAGATCATTTTCCTTTTGAGAGTTGCCCACCCCATATCCTTAGAGATCAGTGTTTGTAGTTGGTTCTATAGCAAACCATCAACTGAGTCTGACTATAAAGCATACCACAACAGCAAGACCTCTCCACAACCTTAACCACGTCCCAAGCCAGTCCACACAGACATAGATCTTATAAACCAAAGGTTGTGGAACTGTTTGCTAACATCATCGTCCACAAAGGGAACCAGATTCTCTCCCCAACCCTATGAACTTTATTTCATTAAGAACAAAAATGACTATAATTGAGTGAGTCCAGAAATGCAAGAAAACAGAGAGTTTGAGAGAAAATGACTAAACTTCAGTAAGGTATTCTCATTAAGAACAAAATGACTACAATTAACTTTTATACAACATGAGGCGTGCACTACAAAACCCAGAAAGCTTTTTAGAACCAAGCTCGCAATAAATTTTATTATTCTGTATAATTAGCACAAATGCATTATAGCACATCCATACCAAATAATTCTTACGCAAGTAAATAAATACAATCCATAGCAACAGATTGAAAAAGAGCCTCCACTGCAGCTGAATCATTCTCAATTAAAGATAACCTTGGTTTCGTTACAATCCTATAGCAGTAATTCACAATGAAGTAAAGTTAAGCAATAACCACATGGAAACAAGGCCCTTCTACACTCTGACTTCAGCAAACGGAACACAATACAATAAGGAGGGCAAAAGCGGGACAATCGAGATGCAAACAAAATGCCCTTCCACTCTCTCACTTCAACAAGGGGACAGAGCCATAATACCTCACAGACCATTTAGATAGGAGCCCTTAATCTGAGACTGCATCGAAGTTTGACCTGAATTTTTCCAGAACTCTTGATACTCTGTAAATATAGAAGACAACAGGTTTGAAGTGAACGCAAAGCTATAGGGAAGTTATTTTGAACCATAATTGGGATAGTTTATTCAAGCAAAAAGAAAATGTTATCCATGATCATGAAGTTTTATTGTGGCCTCTAAACGACCTTTATGCTACTATATTAAATATCATTATATGTAGCTTTTGTATTCTTAAAGAGTTATCGACTCATGATAGAGAAGACATATATAAAACAGATATAAAATTAAGATATGGTCATGAGAATGGACTAGTGTCCTATTTCAAATGTTAGGAGAATAGGAGATCCAAAGAAAAGTAATTTTTAACTAAATATTTACCTCTTTCTTCTGAATGATGTTGTTTTAAGGTCACCTTCCCATACTCTTCATTGACTAATATACAAGCTTCACTCGTAAAGTTTGGTGTGTTCATCTGGGGCATTTTTACACCACTATGTATTCCAGTCAAGGAATTTCAAGGTGTGTTCCCGAATGCCGTCCCGCCCTATCTCCTTTCAATCCTTAATTGTGAGTGGTACATGCGGATTCCCAGAGCATCCATTTTCCTCGAACTAAAATCTGCATTCTCCTGTGAATATTTTCCGTATCTCTTAGGCTTTGATAACAAGATGTGACCAAACCAAGTAAACGAGGCAGAGACAACAAGAAGACGCCAGGGAGCACAAACTATAGCATTACAGAACATCATAATACACATAGCATCATAATACACCAGAAGTCCATTACAACAAAGATTGGGTGTGATCACAACATATATAAGATTAGGGGAATAATTATAACAGCTTTCAGAAATCAATTTCACCAAATACATCATAATATTACATAAACATATGCATGTAATTCACAGTTCAGACATCCATAGGCACATAATTCATACTTTAATGTAATGCACCGAAGCTGAACGAAAAATAACCTCCATGTTCTTATTTCAACCTCAAATGAGTCAAGAAAATAATTTTTGAATCATGTACTTAAAAGCTACAATTCACAATCAAGGAAAACTAAAGCGAACAATAAACATGAAACAAAACACCCTTCTAATTGCCGACTTCAGCATAGGGAACATGAGCCATAATGACTCATAAACCACTTAGAAAATGGGCCTTATTCTGGAATTGTAAAGAAGGTTGACCCGAATCTTTTTAGGAATTTTAAGATATTTCTAAATTCATGATAATTCGTCAAATAAAAGATATGTTTCCGTGATCATGGCGTAATATGGTGGTAAATAAGGTCGCCTCTAATGACCATCACACCACTCCTAACTATTATTATATTGTAATGTCAGTAAACACTGACAATGGAAGCATTAGTTCTGTATCCACTTTCAAGCATCAACTCACATGAAGGAAAGCTAAAGCAAAGATAAAGATAGAAACAAAAGGCTCCACCCTTCTCTGACATCACGCAGGGAACTCGAGCCGCATAATGCCTCACAAAGAGCCCTTATCACTAGATTTCATAGAAGTTTGACACAAATCCTTTTGAAAACTCTGAATACTCTGTAAATATAGAGCACAACACATTCAAAGTAAAAACAGAAACTGCAGGGAAATGATATTTTAAAAAGCAAATTGTCGATAGTTCAGCAAAGAAAAGGTAGTTGGAAATAAAAAGAAAATATATACCCCTGAAATTCCAGCGCTCCAATTCAAATGATGAGTGATGAAGATATAAGCGTTGTTACATTTTCACACCAGCAACATCACAATGAAGGAAAGAACAAAATCAGAACATTGAAGATGAAAATAGATGGCCCTCTCATTGTCTGACTTAAAGCAGAGGAGCAGGAGCTGCAATGCGTCAAAAAACTACATAGTGGCCTTATTACTTGAAGTTTAACCTAAATTAGCGTTTGAAACTGTGAACATTCTGAATCATTGGCAAAATATATTGGAAGTAAAAGCATGATCAGAGGAGAAATGTCTTTGAACTACAAACCGATGATAGTATTTTGATTGAAGAAAATCGAAAATTTGAGTAAATTTATATATAATCATATGACGTTTTATGGTGATACGTTAAGATAATTACCAGTTGTAATATAGTAATTGCTATATGCTCATGAGTTTATTGATTCCCACATAGATGTCTCACATGATTTATCATTAATTAATAATGCACTGATCTGTTTATGATAATCTCAAGAGGAATGGCAAGTAAAGGTAAAATGCATTAACTAAAAACTCACCTCAGGCGTGCTCTGGACATGACAGATATATGAAGTTAAAGCAATTTTGGAAGAGCTGCCTAGAAGTTTCTGACCTACCTGTAATGTAGAGATATCAAACCA